TCCTTAATTTCTTAATGTAATGTGTTATATATTGTTTGTATTTCATTTTTGTATTGAAAAATGTTGCTCGCAGGAGGGGCGTGTTGGGTAGAGGCGAGCGAACGTTTTTCTTATGCGCATGAGTATTAATTATGATGGCGCAGCTGTCTCTTCTACCGACACATCCGTCATTCGAGCTTCGAGCGTATGGAGATGGTGAGATGTTACTTGCCGTGTGATGGTCAATACGATTTCCTGTGTGATCCTTTTATTCATTATACGTGTAAATAAAGTGTGTTGTCCTAAATCGATGCCTTCTTTGCTCTAAATATTGGCCTCTGAACAACAATTTTAACAGAAAAAAAAATCTGATGTGTACACTACATGACTTCCTTGTATTAGAATATTAAATTATACGCATTTTTTCTTGCATTTCATTTAAACTTATTGGATTGAATTAAATCTACTTCGCTGACAGCGCATAAACCACAATAGAATAAATGCATTCTTTAAATGTCACTCTAGTATTTGTTTACCACAGCGACACTCTGGCACTAGATTCACTTAACAGTATTAATAATTATATAACAGTTAACTTATATAATAATTAAAGTTAACTAAGTTAACTGTTACATAATCCAATAATTATATAACAGTTAACGCATATATTTCGTTCATATTATAACTCAATTAATTATATCATTTAAAGAATAGAATTATCTAATCGTTGCCACATGTTCTTTGCATTTTAACAGAAAAAAAAAATACTTTACATTTTAACAGAAAAACAAAATCTGATGTGTACACCACATGACTTCCTTGTATTGGAATATTAAATTATACGCATTTTTTCTTGCATTTCATTTAAACTTATTGGATTGAATTAAATCTACTTCGCTGACAGCGCATAAACCACAATAGAATAAATGCATTCTTTAAATGTCACTCTAGTATTTGTTTACCATAGCGACACTCTGGCGCTAGATTCACTTAACAGTATTAATAATTATATAACAGTTAACTTATATAATAATTAAAGTTAACTAAGTTAACTGTTATATAATCCAATAATTATATAACAGTTAACGCATATATTTCGTTCATATTATAACTCATAATGCACAAAATTTATATCATTTAAAGAATAGAATTATCTAATCGTTGCCACATGTTCTATTCAAATACTATAATAAAGCTAGAATGATGTATAAAAGAAATTAAGCAAACAAAACAAAAAAGAAACAGTTTTTCACAGACGATTGAGTATTTCTCATTTAATTAATTCAGTTCTCACTTCGCGAGAAGGCAAAAATACATAGAAACTCAAAATATCTATATTAAAAATTACGAAGTAAATCTCAAACACTTATTTCCTCGAAAAAATTCCAGAAAGAATTAAGCATGATTTAATTGGCAATAATAAATGAATGCATTATCTTTATTGTTGCGAAGCTAAGTTTCTCTAGATTGGCAACAAATCCACTAGTCTCGTGTTTCAAATGTAAACATCAATGGCCGCCATTAAAAAAAGACTTAGCGGCAATTAAACAAATTTAAAATTGCTGATAAATCTAAAAATATTGCACACATATTTACTAAAGGCATAAAATCCTTAACCGGAAGATAAAAATAACATAATTCAATCATTTTTAAAGCAAAAAATATACAATTTACAAACATATAAGAGTAAAGAAACTGAGATCAATGAGCGGGGTTAACAGAGTGGATATATATATAAATATATTTATATACGTTTGGTGCGGCAGATTGTGCACATCTACATGTTATAGCAGTCCTATATACAAAATTTCAACGTTCTGAGGCTACTCGTTTATGAATTATGCGAGATACGTACGTTACGTACGTACAGACGCCACGAAAAATTCTCTTTAGAATTAATTTTAAAGCAGTTTTATAATTTTTTTGAAGAAAAAGAGTATTTTATTCTGTCCTTACGTACAGATATCACGCAAAAACAGCGCGTTAAATTGCATTCGATAGCGGTCAAAATGGATATTTTCGTTGAAATATGCTGCCTGAAACTTTTCGCGATTACAATACTTCCTTTTTACTTCTTACAAGGAAGTAAAAAGAAAAAAGATTTACCACTAACAGATAGAAAAATCAAAAATTGAAAATAAAATAAAATAAATATAAAACTGAAAGGTTTCAGATTTTAAATTACGTCCAAAGGGGCGCTTTTTTAACGTTTTGTGTGTTACCTTTGTTTATTAAATATCATGTTCTTCGCACTTAAATTCAATTCAACAGCAATATCGCAAAAATAGTTTTAAAATGAGCATATCTTTAGAATTTCCGATACAGACTCACGCGCTGGATACAAAAATGTTTTTTTTTCCGTACTGTGTTGCCATTGCTCGCTTTGAAATAGTTTAGGTTATGAATAAAAAATTCGTTGGAAGTGTTACAAAATCTAAAATCGATAATAAAACAAATTTCAAATTCATATTAGGGCTTCCACATGGCCATATTATATGGAAGATCACATTATTCAAATTTTGATGGCTCTAGGTACCGTTGTTTTATCACAATGCAAGAAACACAGATACATTTACGCAGATTCTTCATTATTTAATTTCTTTAAATATAAGACAGGGAGGTAATGTATGGTGGCAACGATTTGAAAAGTGATACAGCCTGTTAAAGTTTTCAACGCAAAATGCCAAAACGAAATTAATAGTTCTTCAGAGAAAATTGCCCCTTTGGACTAATAAACAAGAAAAAGACTACAAAAAAAATTAAGGAAGAAAATTTCAACCTTTTAAATATTTTCGTTCAAATTTATGGTCTAAGATAATAAACCTCGGTGTCGGAATGTTTTTGTTGGAACGAAAAGCTGAAAAAGGAAATAAGTTGTGAAACGGAGTTTTGAAGTTATGAAGTTCTGTAACAAGTTGTGAAGAGAATATCAAGATAAAATATTTTTAAGTTTACAAGAATAGTTTGAATAGAATTTAGAGGTGGTCGAAAAGATAGATCTAATTGATACTTCTGAGAATAGAAATACTACATGTAGTTTTAGTTTATGTCGCACTTTGCAATTGCAATTACTGAGCTCATATTAAGTGCATAAAAGAGTGAGCTGCTACAAAATATATTACCTTTCTATATAAGAAGATGCAATTATTAAGTGAGAAGAAACAGTTATTTTAAGAGATGTATTTTAGGAAAAATATCAGTTTAGTTTTCTTTTAAAAGTAAGATCGTATGTTTAACAACAGTTTTAGAAGTGCGTCTTAAGAATAACGCATAGCTCTTTTCACAGGATAACTCTAACAAATCTAAAACAGATTAATAGTCGTGCATCATTTCATAGTATGTAGTAGTAAAAACATAACAAGTATAGCATATTACTAAACCTAATATAGCAAGACCTTCAGCTTTTCCTTAACAAGACAACAACGATGCGCAGTTGAAGAAACTCCAAGCTAAATTATTATCAAGCTAGAATACTTATATGGACGTAAAGCAGAAATTTTTTTTTAACTTCAAGGCGTACAAAGCTGCAATATTATAAGTCCCTGTATCAAAATAAACAAAATCTAAAAGATTTTTAGGTTTTGCATAACACCCACAGAGGTTTATTTTTTCCATTTCCCCACACTCACGTTTGGAGAGCTTTTGGGCTATTTTTCCTTTAGGCTAAAAATATTTAAAAACAGCGTACCTTTAGAATTTCCGATGGGCATCTTTCCGGTAGACGCTGGAGATAAAAATATTTTTTCCGTACCGTGTTGCCATTGCTCGCTTAGAAAACTTTGAGTTTGTTAATCAAAATTTCTTTAATGTTTTACAATACATAAAATGAACAATAAAACAAATTCATAATTCTATCTTCCAAGTTCCCACATTCTGGTGGAAGATTACGTTATTCAGAATTTGATGGCTCTAGGTACCGTTGTTTATTTCCAACGAAAGACATATACATACATTCATGCAGATTATTCTTTCATGCAAATTATTCATTCATGCAGATCATTCTTTTGTAGAGACATTAGGCTATTCCGAAGCCGAAGATGAAAAATGAGCAACGTCTTGACCGGGATTCGAACCACGGGCCTCTCGATTATGAGCCGAGCGTGCTGACCACCATGCTACGAAGGCATGTTAAGAAGGCGGGAGAAATACCTTATATACTCCTCATTTTAAAGGACGACTGGGGATAAGGGGACCCAATCGACAAATCTTGGGAGTGGAGAATCATCATCCACCACCCTTTTAGTTCGAGCGCCACTGTAGAGACTTCGGGTTATTTCGAAGTCGGAGAGATTAAAAATGAGCAACGCTTTCGCTGGGACTCGAACCACGGGCCTGTCAAAGGTGCCCAGCAGGCTGACCACTACCCTACGAAGGCATGCTAAGAAGGCTGGAGAAATAAACTTAATTTCTTTAAATATAATACAGGACGATAAAATTTGGTGGTAACAATTTAGAAAGTGATACGCCGTTTATAATGAAGAGATGTAAAATGCGTTTCGACACTAATAGTCCTTTGGGGTAAAAAGCCATTATGGGTAAATATTAAAAACCCTTGAAGTCTCAATATCTTGTGGATATAATTGGTATTCTTTCTGTGCTGTTCTTTAATAGTCTGGCATTGAACTTATGTAGCTGCAGGATTACGAGATAAGCTTACCTATTTCAGAATTAAAGAACATTAAAATCTATTTCGGAACAAATCTTTTTCTATCACAACTAAACACGTGATTCCTTTTCTCTAGGAACACGAAAATAGGATCATATTTGAATATGCAGTAGTATTCAGGTTATAATTCACGCACGAAAAGTGGAAATTAACATAATCCTATTCTAAACCTTACAATTCGACGATTAGGGAAGTTATGTCTTGTTGCTAGGTATGTTAATCTGAGATTTAGCCGCAGGGTGGGTCACAGGGGAAAACAGTGTCAAGATTGTGACCCAACGACAAGGGAAAGTTCTACAAATTGTTGCATCACATCCTTTGATTTCAAATGATTTTTGAAGTTGTATATAAAGGCGAAATTGCAACTTTGACATCAAATCCAAATTGTAGTTGAAATCGAAGTTGAATAAGAGAAGGGGGAAAAAACTGAAAGTGAGTAATGCCTTTTTAAATGTTTCCAACAGAAAACTATTTTTTCATTCATTTTAAAAATATGTGTTGAGAAGATATAGCTAACCTTTTATTATAGTTACAAATATTGCAGGGTGATTTCGTGAAGGATTCGTGAGAAATAATAATATTAAAGCATAGAAAGTGAAGAAGTGAAAATTAATTTTATTTGTTAATAAATAATTTTTTTATGTTTATTTAAAAGCAACTTTATTTCATTTTTATTGAGTTTGTAAATTTTTTATAATAAGAATTTACATGAAATTTGCCTGACTTAATACAACGGAAGTGCATAAAGATGTTTCAAATCATAGAGTGCATTCTAAATAAAACCTTTGTTTGACCAGGTTTTTTGAATCTACTCAGAGTTTCATTTATATTGCATTTATTAGATAGATTCATAAAATTATTCACTTCAACCTTTATTTTGATAAACCTTCGTGCATTAACGTTATCTAAATAATTAAAAAAACTAAGAGAACAAATATTTTCAATGCAAAAATAATACGCACAAAGGGAGTATGAAACTCTGTATCTGATAAAAACAAACAGCAACTTGAATACTTTTATTCAACTTTTTATTAGATCAAAAATATTTACTTATGTTATTATTATTATTATTATTATTACTATTATTAGTCCAAAGGGACTTGAGTCCCGAAGGACTATTGCTTTCGTTTTGGCATTTTGCGTCGGACTCATAAATGTCGGTTCACTTTTCAAACTGTTGCCACAAAATGTTAGAGTCCTGCATTATATTTGAAGAAATTAAATAATGAAAAATCTGCATAAATGTATGTATATTTCTCGTATTGTGATAAAACAACGGTACATAGAACAATCGAATTTTGAATGACGTAATCCTACTACGAATATGGGCATCTGGAATCCCAAATTTGAAATTTGGAATTGTTTTATTATCGATTTCATATTTTGTAAAATTTTAACGAATTTTGAGTAACAAACTCAACTATTTAAAAGCGAGCAATGGCAACGTTGTGCAGAAAAAACATTTATATCTCCAGCGCGTGAGTCTCTGTATCGGAAATTCTAAAGATATGCTCGTTTTAAAACTATTTTGCGATATTGCTGTTGCACTGGATCTTATGGTTTAAGTGCGAATAATAATAAATGTACATGATATTTAATAAAGAAAGGTAACACACAAAATGTTAAAAAAAGCCCCTTTGGACGTAATTTAAAATCTGAAACATTTCAGATTTTTAGTCCAAAGGGATTTGAATCCCGAAGGACTATTAGTTTCGTTTTGGCATTTTGCGTCGGACTCATAAATGTCGGTTCACTTTTCAAACTGTTGCCACAAAATGTTAGAGTCCTGCATTATATTTGAAGAAATTAAATAATGAAAAATCTGCATAAATGTAAGTATATTTCTCGTATTGTGATAAAACAACGGTACATAGAGTCATCGAATTTTGAATAACGTAATCCTCCAACGAATATGAGCATGTGGAAGACCAAATTTGAAATTTGAAATTTGTTTTATGATCGATTTCCTATTTTTTAAAACTTTGACGAATTTTCGATTAACAAACTCAAGGATTTCAAAGCGAGCAATGGCAACGTTGTGCAGAAAAAACATTTTTATCTCCAGCGCGTGAGTCTCTGTATCGGAAATTCTAAAGATATGCTCGTTTTAAAACTATTTTGCGATATTGCTGTTGCACTGGATCTTATGGTTTAAGTGCGAGGAACATGATATTTAATAAGAAAGGTAACACACAAAATGTTAAAAAACGCCGCTTTGGAGTAATTTAAAATCTGAAACATTTCAGATTTTTTTTTTTTTTTTTTTAACTTTTTATTTGGCTTCTTACTAATTTAATTCCTATTCTTACTTATGAATGCTGCTGTAGCAATAATAGTCATTATTACTAATATTATTACTATTATATAAAGTGTTTAAACATATAATCATTTCGTGATTAATTATTTACTGAATATATTTATTTCGTTAAAAATATTGTTAATTCTAATAAATAATTTAAATCTTGATTTCTGTCAAAATATTCAAAATCCTTGTATAATTAAGGTTATTTGGAACTGAAATGTTTCACAAATCATGAACTATGTATATAAGTTTTTTTCATTTTAATATTAAAATAGCACGTTTGCGACATTATCAAGATTCTAACACAGTTGGCCCCTTAACGCTAAATAACGGCGAAGCTATCGAGGGCCTAAAGTACATGTACATGGCCTAAAGTAATGGTTTGCGACAGTGGTTTGTGAATCATGTGAGGCTCTTGGGTCCTTAAGTATGGCTTGTGTTACACGAAACAGTAGTTTTAGTTTTATAATACAATTATAATTAGACATGTATTGGAAGTATAAATCGTGCTTTGAAATACATTCTAGCAAATAATACTTCCGTTTTGAAAGTGACATTCAGCGCGGAGTGATTGTAAGAAAATTTCCAAAATGTATGCCAAGAGCTAGTGTTAGAGTTACAAGTAAAAAGTGAATAATGACAAGCACTTCAGTGATGTCACTCCTCAAACATCACTAGGACTATGCATAATTCCAACTTCTTCAAAAAAGCTCAAAACGTAGCTGATGACTAAGTTCACATTCCAACTTCTTCAAGAAAGCTCAAAACGTAGCTGATGATTGAGTTCACATTCCAACTTCTTCAAGAAGGCTCAAAACGTAGCTGATGATTGAGTTCACATTCCAACTTCTTTCAATGATTGAGTTCACATTCCAACTTCTTCAAGAAAGTTCAAAACGTAGCTGATCATTGAGTTCACATTTAAAAGTTAGGTTTCGTTATTTGGATATGGCAAAGCACACGAGATCTATTTGTTTGAGAGAATTCATGCCTTCATAGAGGACTTTCTAAGTGAAACTGGCTCGTGTTCATAAAACACAAGGGGAAAATGCCCATGGGACTAGTCCGTTTTCCCAGATTCGAATCCGGATCGACCTACCAGTATTCAGAGATCTTAACCGCTCGGCAAGTCATCTAAAGAAATAGTATATGATTTAAAGCTGAGATATATCTCTGCATCTTAATCCTAACCTTCGAGAAAAATAAACTACCTTTTTGGGCAGAAATCTAGTAAGTGGACAATTTATTTGAAAATAATTTTTTTTTTTGTCGAATTGCAATTTTTGTACTCTACGCCCAATTTCGTCACACATGTTTCATTCTTCTCTTTGATAAGAGCAACATGTCACCCAGTCGCTTATAATTTGTATATCAAAGAAGCATACTTTCCTGGCGATAGAGTAAAAGCAAAAGAATTAAAAGATTTATTTGTTTATGTTAACAAATAGCTTTATTAATTAAAAAGAAAGAAATTCTTTTATTTATGTTTTTAAAACTATTTAGTGATATAAATATCTACCCAACAGCTTATATATTTCTGAATTTTATCACATGGTTACTCGTATCAGGAAATTTGGTCATCCTGCTGATTTTACATTCTTATTCTTAATATCTCCCAAAACCGCCATCGTATTATTATCAATATGCTTAAAGTAAACTCAACATGTTAAATAAAGCATTTCTTAAAGTAAATGGAAAGAGCACGAGTTATACCTACTTGTCTACAATTTCGTTTAAAATAAATATTGGTTAACATACTTCAGAATGTTTATCATTTATTTTAATTGTAAGGATTATGTTAATTTATCTAACAGTTAATTTTGAGTTAAAGTTACTTTCCTATCCTTTCTTAATTTCAAGCTTACAACTTCCTTCCAATTTTATTAGAATCGCATTTGAATGCAAATGAGTAGAAGTATTTAACTGCGAAGTTCCACTGACTTCGTGAGAGAGAACCAGTGATTCTGATTAGCGCGCATTTGCCTTTTTAGGCTACTCTCTCTTAAGCTATTATTACGCTCGGTGTACTTTAGGCCCTCGATAGCTTCGCCGTTATTTAGCGTTAAGGGGCCAACTCTGTTAGAATCTTGATAACTTCGGCTATATCTTTTTAGTTAAGATTAGTTAGGTTTTAGTTCTTAGTTTTCTGAGTTCTAGCCCGAGTGAAGGCTTTATTGTAAAGCTCCAAGACGGAGTTCTGGGAAATTAATTTCGAATAATAAAAGGTATTTAACCCACCCCGAAGTTTATTTTCTGTCTGACGAACTCAAGCGATTATTCGCTTACCAGTTCTTAAGATTCTTCAACTTTAACTTAACACAGGTTAGAATCTTACATAATAAGAAGCACAAAAAAGTGAAATATATGCAAATTCGTGTTCTTAAGCAATTAATTTTAGAAAGACAAATGAAGTGCAGCTGTTATTGTTACTGACTGCAGTTAATTACATATACCTAAATATCTTTTTAGATGTTTGTGTTACCACTCATAGCCTGCTTTGTTCTAGTGCAAGGATCTGTCATCATCCAAGAGGTAAGAAGCCCTTTGAATAATGCTATTTTAAGTGCTAAATTCTCCAAGCATCTATTATTTACATAGATCCATTTTTCAACGAATGCACTAGTTTGAAATAAATAATGTAAAATCTTAAAAATTTCAAATACAGTTGCAATTTCTTAGCATTCTGAAGGTTTTGAAGCTCAGTGGCCAAACAAATAACGTCTCGTAATTAATTTTGATTTTTTTGTGAAGTTATGCAAATAATGCTAACCTGTATCATACCTAGCTTAGAAATTTCAAATAAAATATATTTCTTAAAATTTACTACTTCCGAAATATAATGTATTCAAATCACATTTGAAAGACAATATTAGATTTATGAAACAGAGTTTTACTTAACCTTTTTCAAAATATCTTTATAAATTTCAACAATTCATTATTTTCTAAAATTAATTATTTGTAACTTAAAAATTCAAGAGAATTTAATATATGATTCCTATCCCTTATTAGAACTATTCTTCGCGTTTGCGTAAACGTTAACGCATTTTATTTGCAGTCGTTTAAACATATACCAAATTGTGACCAATTTTGAACTTACCAGGTGCCTCCAATTTATTCTACAACATTTAACGAATTCAATAAATCAGTTTATTAAACATTATTAGATGCATAATGAATTTAGTACACTTACAGTTTAGTTATATTTATATTTGCTATTTATCTAATGTTGATCATCATCTGAATATTATTGCACAGCAAATTTATAACTACTTAAAATAACGCGTGTTTAAATATATTTCAAGAAATTCATTTGTGGGGTAAAACGCTTAAATGCAACATGTCCAATTATTATCCAGTATTATATTTGTTTGCAAAGAATAAATTTGTCTACTTTTTCCTTTGCGTAATATTTTTATTTATACGTAGTTATTCCGAGGAATCATTAGCCCAAAGGGGTTTTGTCCCAGAGGGACTATTGTTTTCGTTTTGCGATTTTGCGTCGAATCACTCTGAATGTCCGTTTCACTTTTCAAACTGTTGCCACCAAATATTAACGTCCTGTATTATATTTGAAGAAATTAAATAATGAAGAATCTGCATAAATGTATATATGTTTCTCGCATTGTGATAAAACAACGGTACCTAGAGCTATCCAATTTTGAATGACGTAATCCTACTGCGAATATGGACATCTGAAAATCCAAATTTGAATGCAAACAGACTCAAGCATTTCAAAGCCAGCAATAGCAACGCTGTACAGAAAAACATTTTTATCTCCAAAGCGCTGTATCGGACAGTCGGTTCGGTTTCCAACCCGATAAGTCGATTTCCTGGATCCAGTGGATTTTCCAGTATTGGAAATTCTAAAGATATGATTAATTTAAAACTATTCTGCGATATTGCTCTTGAACTAAAATTTTATGGTTTAAATGCGAAGAACATAATATTTAATAAATAAAGGTAACACACAAAATGTTAAAAAAACGCCCCCTTGGGCATAATAGAAAATCGAAAGCTTTCAGATTATTTTTATTTATTTATTTTTATTTTTTGTATTTTGTCATAGGAATTTTATCAGCACTTTCATCTTTAATTTTTTAATCACTCGCACAACAATACAGAGGATTCGCACAACAAGCTGCCTGTTGAGTATTTTAAAAAAATCTATTTGGCGCTTGACATGTGTATTTTCAGCATTAATGTTTTACTCTCTTTGCATATTTAAATTTGTTTTAATATTTCACTGAAATGCATTTCCTTTTCTTTTCGAGTGGAGAATGTGTATATTGTTAATAACATTTAAATGGGTTTTATGTTTCGCTTTTATGTCCTTTTTTCATAAGCTTTTTGAAACTTAAAGTCTTTTCCATTTCCATCAATAAGCTGAATTAATTTTCATCTGTAAACTGATCTAATATTTCTGAATTTCAAATATTTTTACTTGCAGGTACACCAGCCTCAGCCTTACAAATTCGGATACACGATCAAAGACAAAAGTAGCCAGCAGTATAGGGAAGAATCTGGTAATGGAGTAGGTGTAGTCCAAGGAAGCTATGGTTTCACAGATCATCGAGGTATCCAACGACAAGTCAACTACGTGGCAGACAAAGCAGGATTCAGAGCCCAAGTCAAGACTAATGAGCCTGGAACAGCAAGTCAAAATTCCGCTGCAGTCCAAATGATATCCAGTAATGACGTTCATTCTTACCTCAGCGGTTCTAGAGCTCCAGTCCTTGTCCAAGCCGTTCCAGTACTGAGTTTGGGCTATCCAAACGGTGGCATATCAGGTGGAATGTACGGTTATAACAATGGGCTTCAGGGTGGTTTAGGATACAGCGGCCTTCTGGGAGCGGGTTATGGAGGAGTTGTAAATTTTGGTGCAAATCTAATTGGAGGTTCCATCAGAGGGTACGACAGCCGCTTTAATCAGCATTTAAACTAAAAATATAATTGCATTAGAAGTCTAGATTGTTGAACGTGTAGTTTGAAAATATGTACATATGTCACTTTGAAGGTCTTTTCTTAGACTTGTCGTGTGAATTTTTGTATAAAGTCGCCATTTCCGAAATCTTCTTAATTTATACCTTTTCAGACCTCGAAGCAAATAAACACTGTTGACTACTTACTACTTCTGACTGAATCTTCAGCTTTCTAGGTATAGGGTTTTTGGGGAAACAAAGTTGGTATTTTCCTTTCGGTATGATTAGCGAATTGACAAAATTATTTCTTTCTCCTTTCAAGTTGTCTGGACTTTTCTAATCTGAGGAAATTTAAATCCTGGGTAATTTATTATTCGTTGCTTTATACTTCAGTTTTGTCGGTATTTACATTCTTATCCTTATTAGTATATCTATGGTTACTACTTTCTTTTCGGCATGAGTAATGATCGACTGCTTTCTGGGGGCATTTCTGAAATTGCCTAGGTTGAGTAAAATCACATTTAGTGGTATTTCCAAAGTACACTGCGGTATTTTTAGTTTTCTCATTCCTCTGCTATTTCTGCATTAAATTACCCGAATAGAAAATTTGCTTTGTGATTCTATAGAAGTTCTGGAAGGTGTTCTCAAGCTTTATTTATTGCCTGTCTAATGCTCATTTCTGTGATAACTATTGTGAAGCGATGTATGACACTAAATGTATTATTTTTAATTATGTGTATTTTGGGATTTTAATAAAAGGACCTGAAATTACTATAAAATATTTCATTTTTTTCAGCAATAAACAATTCATAAAAAACGCAAATACAAATTATTGTACAATTCCTTTATTTCAAACAATATACACAGCTGTTGGTCAAAACAAATATGGAACAATGAGCGACCGCTAAGTAGAATTCAATAAATTAGTGTTATTTGCAAAGTATCTACAATAGAAACCTGGTTGAGATCGAAATTATTTTTTTTTAAACAGCATGACATTTTAGGTGCAATAAAGATTTAGGAACCTATTGTACACTGCCCTCCAAAAGTAAAGGAACATCATGTTTTTTGTGTCTAATTTCAGAATGAAGCAGCATAGATACATAAATTCAAAGGACATCTTCACTAAACAGTTCTTCAAAGGATGAGACATAGAATGTTTCTTAAGTTCAATACAAATATGAATAAAAAAAAATAAAAAAAAAATTGCACTCTTGGCAGAGAAAGTCAATCTTGGAGAAACAGTGCACCACACTTTTTTTTTTTTTTGAAAAAACGTGGTGGTAACATTGCAAAAATGGATTTTAATAAGGAAAATGTCCACCACTGACTGCAATACATTTTCGGCAGCGATGTAAATATCATACTCCACTCTTCAAATAAGATGAATACCTAAGTTTCAGAAAATAACTTTTCTTTAATGTACTAATTCTGAAATCTTTATTTACAGAATTTCTTCATCCATTCACAGGATATTCTTTCTTCATATTTCTTGAATCGAAATATATAATGTAATTTTCCCTTCCCTGACAAGACCATTCTTACTCAATGTTCTCATATAATATTGCACTTGTTTCTGCATTCCTTTAACAAAATCTTCTTAACTGTTTTTGCTCAAAGGTGTGCATAAAATCTAATGAGGTTACACATTATTTTAGGTGCAGATTTTATTTTTACCCTTTCAAGACAATAATGTTATGACTGAGAGATATAATTTCATGAAATAATTATTAGGAATATGTTTGCATTCTAATAAGGATAATAAATCTTTCTTCAACACAGTAAAAGCTTTCACGTCCAAACATATAATTTCAAAAACTGGAAACAAAATAAGTTTTTTTTTAATCTCTTACGTTTGTCACAGAAATTTCAAATTCCGTTTAAAACGAAATTAACAGAAAGTGTTTTGTCATATATTATAAAAACACAGCATCATAAGATTTGTTCGTGAGACAGATTTCTTTTTCCGCAAAAATGAAATGCTTTTAATAAAAGAGTGAATTATTTTAAAACAGTAATCCTTAATTTAATGAGTTATATTCATGTGAGCATGAGTAGTAATTAGTTATATTATATTTATAAATTTGGTGTTATTTATTTCATATTTTGTTTTCACATTATAAAGTATTTTTCGAGTTCTTAGCCTGCCTTCGTAATGTAGTGGTCAGCACGCTCGAGAAATCCGTGGTTCGACTCCCGGCGAGGGCATTGCTCATCTTTCATCTCACCTGCCTCTAAATACCTAATGTCTCTATAATATATTCAGAAAGCTCAACTCTTAGATTCTAAAGGAAGGAAGAAACATAAAATGATTTCATTAATATAGTTTTCGGTCAAATCAAACAAAGATATTAGGGTCAATGCACTGGCTAATGTGAGCAGGGTCACTGTGTGCAGGCTTCTGCGAGATCTTCCCATCCTTATTCGAACAGCGTGGAAATATTTTACATAGCTTTTAGTATGGATAATCTAAAAATCGCAAAAAAGTTGAGAAAAAATGCCTAAGCACTTTCTCAAGCCATGAAGTCAATCAAATCGAGAAGTCTGCGTGAGAAGCACTGTAACTAATAACAGGCAGCACAGCAGAAGCGTAAGACATTTCAGTCGTCTGGCGGCGAAAACATTCCTGAAGAACGATAGCAATCAACGCAATACATTTCTCATTGCAGAATCAATAATAATTCGGAAGAACGTGCCGGCAAGCAAGCATCATAGCAAGCGTCTGAGTTTGATCAAATACTTAAATTAAGGTAAAACAATATACTACATACTTAGTCTTATATACTGTTTAATCTTCATCGTATTTCTTATTCATTCATATTTTAAGTCACCGGTACAATCATGTCTACTTCGTAAACTGTAAGTTTTTAAACCTTATCTAATTCGCGATCTTGTAAATGTTATATAAACATTTCGATACATTATTATGCTATTATTTTCATATATTCTGTAAAACACTTCATGTATTGTCTGACTTAATTAGTTTTTATGAAACTTATGTAAAGAATTCTGTAATAACTGCAGTATGAATTTTACGTTTATGATAGTTCACGTGCAGCAACACAGGATTCCAATGTATTTGTTTCAAGGTCTTTATATGTCTATGTAATTCAACGACTTATGTTTAAGTAATGTTGCTTGTTTAGCCCTCCCGGCTCTTGGTTTCGGTACACATCTGAGAGATTTCCTTCTTCAGAGGGCACAGCAGCAGTTTAAGCATGATAGCGGGCCTGTTGTCCTCATAGAGAAGTAGAGAGAGAGTATACTTTTGTGAGTTCGCCTATGCTGAAAAGATAATTTTCCCTCCTGAATGCGTTCACTGCTAAGGCTGAAATTTTTAATCTCTAATATTGTGTGTTAATTGTTGTAGAAATATATTTTAGCTAGAATTCAAATCGTGGAACTGCTCAGCATGAGAACAAATTTAAATATCCGGATCTTTTCTTCGATAGAACAATACGCGTCAAACTTTAAAAACATACGAGGCAATTGGATATTTCTAGTAAAACAAACTTTTGTCATCTTCGACTGTGGAAAAAACTTTCTAAATATAAGAAGCATTTTCTAATGTTTGTTATATAAATACGCATAGTGCGAAGTAGAATCACGCACATTTTAAAAAGTTTTCACTAAAAACACTTTAAAAATATAGGAGTAAACAATAAGTAGTTAAATTAAAAAGAGAAAGTCTGCGATATTAGACCAACGGTTCCCAATGAGGTTGATATTAACTCCCTGGGGGTGGAGGAAATTTTAAAGGGAATTAGGAATCTTGAAGTTTTCTATTGGGGTTCGAAAGCCGAATAGGCATTGACATAATCAAGATCTCTTTGATTAAAAAAATTATTAATAAAATTGATCATAATTGTTTACCAATAAGTTCAAGCATATTCCTAGTCGAAACACACTGGTACGTTAACTTTTAAAATTTAAAAGTCATCCGAAAGAATAATCTCGAAATAAAAGTTATTAGGGAACCAGTATGATTGAGTTTTCCTACTGGAAGCAAGCTTTAGTCAAGTCAATAATTTACTATAGAAAACAAGAAACGGGGTGAATATTTTGGAACGATGTGATTTAAGACGTAAATTAAGACATTTTATGCCAAACATTAAAAAAATTGCATCAATACATCAAGTGCAGCCATTATATTACTAAAATCGAATTTTTTTGCAATTCGAAGATATGTTTGTTTCTCAAGACGTACGTACATTTGAAAAATTAAAAATAATAACAATACAAAACAATTTTTTAATAAATCGGGTTTTTTTCCCAAAGCCTTTTCCTGCCTTTCCTTGTCATTTTCTGGCAACCCTAAACCTGCTTTGCGGGGAAGCTATCTTACCGCGACTGGACATTTCGTAACAATATGAAACATTATTTTATTATTTGGAACTCATTATTGGAATAAATGATATTTTGTTAAACTAAGTTCTTTTGGACAAATTTTTTTTTTACATAAATATGGGGATTTAATTGGAAACAAAAAATATGGAACTAAATTGAAATGTCGAAGTTCTTTGAGTTGTCTTCTTCCTCCAGTTTTTTTCCGTTACTGTCACTATTCTTCCTCTGTACGCGATCCTAAGCCTTTTGCTTTCCGTACAGGAACCAACAATGGAAGAAAAATAACCCTTTATTAATCATTAAGATTAAACGAACCCGTCGTGAATGTACATAAAGCCGACACGTGGGCTTGAACTAAGAGCTAAGATAACTAAAGTTAATCTAAACTAAAAAGAGATTGCCGAGCTATCAAACCTAACGAGTTGGCCCCTTAACGTTAATTGACTGCAAAACTTCAGAGCCTAAAATCGGATGAGCGAGTATACTTACGAATAGTAGCCTAAAAAGCGGACGCGTGCAGCCAGAAACTGGTATCTTTCTCTCCCTAAGACCGAAAATTCGCGGCTCGCTCACTACCGCTCTTCCTCCTTAGTATTCAACGTGATCTAAAATACGTCTACCGGACGTATTAAATTGAGTAAGAATCGACAGGAAAGGAACTTAAAATTTAACTGTTAATAAAATTAACATATTCTTTACAGAGTATCAAAATATGTATTTGCAAAATCCGATTAATTAAATTTATCTGTATTTAAATTCATAGACATAATTTTTGTGTTCGGTTCTTTGATACTAGAAACATATTTATGAGAGTCTTTCTAGAATATTTTGGCTATTGCGTTACGTTACGATACGCTGCCATAATCTACGTGACCTGGTAAGTGTTACCATCTCACCAGATATACTATAAAGTATTTCTCCCACCTTCCTAGCGTGCCTTCGTGGTGTAGTGGTTTTGCATACTGGGCCGGTATTCCAGAGGTCCGTGGTTCGATTCCCGCCGAAGGGGTTTGCTCATTTTTCATCTCTCTGGCTTCCAAAAATCCTAATGTTTCTACAATGGACCCTCAATTTCTCCTCCAAACAGCTTACCAGTTAGAACTATTTGCTAGAGAAGCTGGTCACGGAAAATCTAAAGATTAAAATGAAAGTCTCAACTTCTATTCTCAAGAACTGTTATTTTTTATATTTCAGGAATGCAGATTCTAGAGAAAAATTCTTAAAACCTCTCGCAGTTTTATTTAAAAAAGAATATATTCGCTCATTACACAAATTATAACATCCTTAATCGGAAAATTACTTTTACCCATTAGAGAATAAAAGAGAACTTTTATTATTTTTCGACAATAAAATTTATTATTATCTTTATTAATCTCTTTATTGACAAAAAGGGAGATACTTTCTTTACATGTAACATTTTTTTTTTTTTACTTAAAAGGAAATAACTGGAAAATGCTGACCCATTTGGACATGAAATATAAAATTCCAGAACTGGTGCTTAATTTTTTTATGTGAAAAGTTTTGATAGAGTTTCATGAAAAGAAATAGCATTAGCAGAACTAAAATTGCATTATAATTTAAGAATTGTATTCGATTGCGCCGCAATCAAATAAAATAGATTGTGCAATCGATTATAGTTTGTCACACAATACTGTAAAAAATATACTGTTATGTAATGAAATTTTACAGCACTACTTTTTTTCAATTAATGTCTGTCAGTGTTACAGAGTTTATGCTCTCCATTAAACCATTAATTTTATTGCAGCACGAATTTCTGCAATTTCTACCACAGCTTTACTAATTTATTGACTTTACTAATTTATGAACTTAACTAATTAGAAACAAATTTTTATTTTATACAAAAACAAGTGTTAAATGATTGTCTTAATGTTCAGTGTAATATGGATAAAAGGTATTGCAATGAAATATTTGCACGCTTATTGCTTTTTTAGGACAAAATGTGTCCTTTAGCAAAAGATTGTTCAGCCATTGCTTTCAACGCAATTCATGCATATCATACATAAACAATCATCTTCAAACAAAGTTGTTAGCTTTGAACCCACATTTTGTATTTATCACATCTTTCATTGAAATAAACAAATTTCATAATTTAAATAAAATCATAAGAGTTGCTCTTTGTCTTGAATTATAATGCTGGAAAAATTTAATCTTTGTTTTCATTGGACTTTAAACGAAATGACTCACTGAATTTCTAGCAATAAACAAGCGGATTTCACAGACCAAAGTTAAATACGTGAATGATTTTAATTATTTTAAATTTTACTTGGAACCTCTAAAAGGTATCCATGAAAACAACGACGTGGTGGAAAATTATATAAGTAACTCCAAATATAGTCGAATGTTGATTATCCGCATCTCAATTATACGAAACTCCAACTAAATTGCTGCTGCCGAATTGCTGCTGCCTCAAAAATGTGATTATGTATCTCAGAGACTAAAAAACAATTTGCATTTTTCATTCTATGAGTGAGTTTAAATCTTCGAATACGTTCTAATGTCACTGAAGTTCCCAACATTGACCTCCCAGACGTTATACTGGTTAGGGAATCCTACTGCGGTACTGAAGGTTCCGGGTTCGAATCCCGGAGAAGGCATGGGGGCACTCTAAATATCCGAAAGTCTTCTCGAGAGGTTGTTGGTAGGAGAAGAGGGGTGGGAGAACTTGGGACGCGTTCTCCCGAGACGGTCTCCTTAAAAATTACATGGTGGAACTGCGTGAAGTTGTATTGTCTACAGTATGGTGCTCAAGGCTCTTACTAACTGTGTGTGTGTAATTATGGCAAAGCCTCGAGGGCTATCTGCCTAAGGAGAGGTATGCCTTCGTGGAGGACTTTCTAAGGGAAACTGACTCGTATACACGTTACACATGGGGAAAATCCCGAAAACCCCCATGCAGTGAGCCCATTCGCGGGTTTCGAACCCCGGACCGAACTACCAATGTTCAGCGACTTTATTGCTCGGCCGCTGGTGGGCTGCTCTTACCAAAGATAGGCGCAATCTTGCACTCCTTGTCACGATGAATTTCGTGGGCCTTTTCTGACGCTACTTTTAGACAATAGCCAACAGACGGAGATGAATACGATACTTCAGTCGCTTTTATAAATATTTAATATTTCAGATTTAGTGTGTAGGTAATTCTTTTTTTATTTTTATACTTCCTGATATTAGGTTATGGGGAAGTATAGAAACGATGTTTACTATGATAGGACAAAACGAGGTATTGTAAATTCAAGATGAAGTGCGATGACATAGTACAAACTGCGATGTGTTATGCTTTTTATCCTTTGTATAACTGCTTTTTGGTATAATTGTGTTATAATTGCTTGTGTTATTTCTTGTGAGTGTGGACATTATGCTTTATCGAAGGTTTTTCTTGTTTGCTATTCGAGAATTCATGAATTAGGTTTTAGTTCAAATTTCAAGATTCGAGATTCCTATTCCCCAAATCACGAGAATCGGAAGATCTAGCACTAATTTTCAGTTAAAAAAATCTCTTTCAGAAGGAAACAAAATCCTGAAAAAAATTAAGATAGAAAAATAATAAAATATATTCTATTTATTCTTTTATTTATACATCTTACACAAAAAGAATGGTTAGGACTCAAAAGTAGAACTCAAAAGCTAATAAAATATTTCTTTTCTTACATGTGCGCAACATGCACTAACAGCTGCAGAAACTATCCAAACATTTCATGCATTAATTATAATCCTTCAACATGTATGCTCTTAGGTAACAAGATACTAATTCATTCGATAACCAAATTCCTTCCGAAACTACGTTTTGGCTTTCGCAAAATACCGCATTTTTTAACATATCCTAATTCTACATTCATACGCTCTGTATTTCTGTTGCCAGGTTTCCTCTGATTTTTTTATATGCGCACTATCGTATGCATCGGAAATCAAAATGAGATATTACGGCCATGATAAAATCCCATGGCAATATACAAGGTACTCAAACTCTCTAATATATATATGATATATTTATGTAATACAAAAAGTGGTAGATATCTGAAATATAATTTCAACTTTCGACAGCAGATTTTTTACAGCTCTCCATCTTAGAAATGAGATCACCATTCATTAATAGTCTGTTGTAATATTCTAACTCTTTCTTTTCTTCTCCTTCTTGGTGTTTTTTTTAAATCAGTGAATCACAGTGTTCAAACTTTTCTATATTCTTCTTCTGTTTCATTACAAAAAAAAAACCGAGTTATTGCCATAATGAATTCACTGGGATTCATTTGCCTGATTTTGAAGGAAATAAGAAGTTGGGAAACTAGAATTTGAAAAAAGTGAAAATTCTAAAAATTTTTATCTAGGCACAGGAATCCTGGAATATAAAAAACGAACATTCTAAAGAATCGGCACTTCTGCAAAATATTTTTCTTCGAGCAAGTATTTTTTATATCTTGCAAAATTCAAGATACAATAAAATTAAATTTTATTGTAATTTTCTTGTGAAATTCGAATTATAGTACAATCCAAACATCTGTTTTCCCAATGACTGGGTACACCGACAATCTGGCTTACATATATCCAACAGGAATGTTATCTGACGAATTTATGAGCATGTTATTCAGAAGTAACTGCAAGTGTTCGGTAATAGCACCTAGTTATGGCTAAATGTCATGCAGCCAAACTTTGTTGAAGAAGGTCTTTATATTCTTACGGATAACCCTCGGTACTGTTAAACTCAAAGTATTCCTTAGATCAGTTATCTAGCAACACTTTCTGAAGCAAAAATTTGAGAAATGAATTAATTAAAATCAAAATATTCGCAATAAATTTATAAAATGCTATAAGGTATTTGTCTCGCCTTCTTATCATGCCTTCGTAGTGTAGTGGTCAGCACGCTCGAAGCGTATTCGAGAGGTCCGTGGTTTGAGTCCCGGCGAGGACATTTGCTCACATTTGTTCAATTTCCTGATTTAAAAAAAATTACATAATGTCTCTACAGTGGCGCCCGAACTAAAAGGTGGTGAATGATGATTCTTCCCCACCAGGATTTGGCGATTGGGTGTCCAAAACCCCATCCGCCCTTTAAAAGGGGGAGTATATAAGATATTTCTCCCGCCTTCTTAGCATGCCTTCGTAGTGTAGTGCTCAGCACGCTCGACGCGTATTCGAGAGGTCCGAGGGCATTGCTCACATTTCTTCAATTTCTAATTTCAAAAATCTTCTAATGTCCCTACAATGTAATAACCATCAAACAGAACCAAAAATTAAATCTTTATTTCACAAATCTATTAAACTTTCATTTGTATTTACATAAGATTATGCGGAAGAAAAATTACAGAGAGCACAAAATTATAATATACTCTAAATCTACGCAAATAATATTGAAATAAGCGTACCAAGATTTCAAGAGAAATGTCATCCTATGCTTGAATTGCTTTTAGCTTTGCAATAAACAAGGAAAAAGTTATTGCACAGATATTACATGAGATTCAAATCATAGAAAAATTGGAGCCCAAGAAATGTTTTTTAAGGAATATTACTGATGAATCTAGTATTCTGTGTTGCTTGATTTGTGAGTGAATGCATCAGCATACTAAAATATGCAGCTTTTTTTCACAAAATATGTCTGCGTGAAGCAAGTTGTTATTACATAAGTTGTCGATATAACGCTAACTCGATGTAGCTCAATATAACTCCAGTGCTAACAGAACTGATATCAGTTTTCCAAATTAGCAAAAAAAAAGGGGGGGACACCGAAAATCAATACTAAATCGTTGTCCGTTGTCCCTTTAATTATTCTTTAGAGACGTTTAATTCGAATTTAGCTTAGGTAACTTTCAACGAAATTTCTCTGAAAAAAACCCAGATTAATTTTTTTTAGGATGAAATCATTTTCCCTTATTGAGGATTTCGACACTTCTTTCATATATTAAAAAAATTTTTCAGTAGCACAACTTCTAGTTCTCTCATTGCAAAAAATACTGAACAACTATATGAATGATGCAATAATATACACGAATTCCACAATTGATTCAAATCGTTTTAAACGGTTTATTAATCCTGATTTCCGATAAGATATACGCCTCCTTCTGAAAGCTCTCCGAAGGTCAAAATTAAAGCCCAAACAGATTGTGATTCAGGTTGAAGAATGAAATGTTTTAAAGGATTATGTAGGTTTTGTTTTTATTCTAAGCTATTTTCGGATTATTATATAAAGGGAAAATTTCAAAACTGTTTAGTACATTCTGTGAAAACATTCTAAGGGAATAATGGTCTTCAAGGTAAGTTTAGAATTTTATCTTAGTTGTTTAATTAGAGGAAGTTAATTCTTTCTATTTAAAAAGCAAATATTTATCTTCATGCAAAAATCGAAAATACTTTTAAATGATAGAACATACTACTGTCAGGAATGTTTTTTACATTAAAATGCACATCCATACGTTTTAATTCTCAGCTTAGTATGTAAATTAAGAAATATATTGGAATATTTTTATCACTTATCTCTTAATATTTACATTAAAATATATAACTTTTTTAAGTTGAAAAGCGTAACATAGTAACCTACATTAGATTGTTGCATTTAGATCATTTAACTAGATTTCTTGATTTTGAAGTACAGAATTTATTTCATGCAAACCTCTTTACCATCTTAGCCTTCATCAAAGACGAATGCTTACAGTAATGTTGATGAGGTACCCAGAGACTATTGTTTCGGATTTTTTTAAGATATTTCTTTTTAAAAATGTCATCATTTTATTAAAGAAACTTAACCGACTTGATATCTATTTCCTTAAGTAGCTTCTCGAGTGAAAATATCATTGGAAAAAGAGGAAAAGACCAAAAACGAAAAAAGAAAAAGGAAATCTGCAAGGTTTCAGATTTTAAACTACGTCCAAAGGGGCCTTTTTTTAACATTTTGTGTGTTAGCTTTATTTATTAAATATCATGTTCTTCGCATTTAAACCGTTAAATTCAGTTTAACAGCAATATCGCAAAATAATTTTAAAATAAGCATATCTTTAGACTTTCCGATACGCAGTCTCGCGCGCTGGACATAAAAATATTTTTTCTGTACAACGTTGCCATTGCTCGCTATGAAGTCCTTTAGTTTGTTAATCAAAACTTCAAAATATGAAATCGATAATGAAACAAATTCAAAATTCAAAATTTGATGGCTCTAGGTACCGTTGCTTTATCACAATGCGGAAACATACGTACATTTATGCAGATTCTTGATTATTTCATTTCTTCAAATATAATACAGGGCGATAATATTTGGTGGCAACAATTTAAAAAGGGAATCAAAACTTATAGAAAATCAACGCAAAATGCCAAAACTTGAATAGTCCTTCTGGGCAAATTGCCCCTTTTTGCTAAAAAATGCCAACCTATTAAAATCAAGTATGTTTTACTTTTAAATAAAATTAAAATACGAGCATTAATAACATATTTTAAGTTCATTTCTGAAAAAGTATCATAATTAAATTATGAAACATTTGCATTGAATAGAAAAAAGTTTCTTAACATAACAGAATATGATTTAATGATTAAAAATAAGTAACTGAAAATACTGAAAAACTGATTCGAGTGCAAATTCATTTGTGCCAATTTTCTAGATGAGGATGATGTTATTTTTTGTTACAATTGCTCGCTCCTACATGCACAGCTTTTAAAGAACGTAAATTCTAACAACCTACTTAAATTTTTCTATAAATGTTTTTAATTTTTTTTTTTGGATGCTGGTTTCATTTAAGCATTTTATTAATACAGAAATTATTCTTGCTGAACTTATTAAGTTGCGTTTCTTTGTTCTTCAATTACACTAAATTTAGAATTTAGGAAAAGGCAACTTGAAATGCAATAACAATTATTTTTGCCAATAATTTGCGGTATACGTATCCCCACTCAGTACAAAACGCCATCACATCAATTCCTAGCAGACATTTCTGAAGTTTTTACCAAATTATTAATATTTCAAAAGTGCACCAAAAACAACCTTAGATTTACGTATATTTTGAACAAAATTTTATCATTTTCAAAGAGAATCAGATATAGTTCCCTCTTCTTTAGGATGAATATATTTTTTCTAAGCTGGGAGAATCGACACATATTTTGTATAGAAATCAATGAACAGAGCAAAGCAAAAATGATCTGTCTACTAAAGTAGTAATGAAATGAAAAAAGTTAAGATATTAAAATATTGAAAGGGAACTCGGAGAGAACTGGATTGGCATAAATATCATTAACAAGAGAAAATAAAATTTTATAAACATTAAAAACTATAAGAGTTTGGTTTGGTTTATTTAATTATGGCAAAGCACACTAGGGCTATCTGCCTAAGGGGAGGGAGGCCTTCGTGGAGGACGTTCTAATGGAAACTGGCTCGTATACACGTTACACATGACTACAAGGGAATCTAATTTATTAAATCAAGAAGCTTACACTGGTATATTTTTCTTCCAAATAGGTCTTTAAAAGTAATATTTTACTTATATCCCTTGTGATTTCCTCTGTTTCTGCCTTCAGTTCTTAAAGTTACAAATCCTTTACAAAATAGATGTATAAAGGTTTTATGAAACTTTTAAGCAGATTTTTACTTTTATACATTAAAATATTTATCATTAAAATTATTATACTGTACTTTAAATATTTTAAAATTTTTTGTTAAATAATACCTCGAAGTAAAACTCTTTCAGATATTTCTAAGTTTTCAGTCAACATATTTATTAGCCTGGAAAGTAGAAATTATTGCCACATGAGGGAAATATTTGTCGCAATGTTCGCGTGTTAACGATTCAGTGAAGTAAATGCACAGCTATATCCTGAATAATTAAGCCTTTTCTTTATTGAATAAGTGTACAACGTTCGTCTCTATGTTTTCAATGAAATTTTACAACGGAAATGAATGTAAAATGTTTATAAAGAAGAATCTTCGATTTGCAATGAAATAATACCATAAAAGCATTTTTACTACCAGTTGTCTTCGTTATCTTCAACAGTCCATTTTGAGTATAAAAATTTAGCTAGTATATCTAAACTGTTTAATTTTTTTGGAATTTTAACTGAAATTCTTCGAGGAGTTAGACTATAATTTTAAGATAATAATTTTATTTCATTTTATCTTATAAGGGTTTATTTACTTTTTTTAACCAATTATTTTATGTTAATTAGCTTTATTGTCTTTCTCTTTTCCGTTTTCTTGCCAGGATTCAAATTTTACCTCTCGCATATTCAAGGGAGGCAGAAAAAGACAGTATTTAAAGGAAGGGTTTAAATTGTTGAATCAGAGCATATTCCTCCTGCTGAAGGCCACGTTACTAGTTGAATCTTTTAAATGGTTGTCAGTCTGCAGCATTGCGTTATTCTTGCCATTAGGCCTGTCACATCGGCCTAGGCTTGAACCAACTTGTGAGTTATTTATTCTATGTAGCCTTTGACTAACTTACGATGACTTAGTTTTGTTTTAAAGTAGAATTCATTACCTTTCGAGTTACACCATTAATGCTGGCAGGTTTTGTGCCAGAAGTGTCTTCTGTTAAATTACCGAGTTTCAATAAAAGAATCTTTTACATCCTTCTTGCGTTCTCTGTCTGATTACTGGACATAGCGATAAGTCGTTTAAGCTCAGCTCAAGTCTCTAATTTAGTTTATGCTACCAAAGAATGTTTTAATTTTCGTTTAGAAAGTTAAAACTCTCTTAGTAATGTTATAGCATTAAAGCCTTAATAAAAATAATAACAGCAGTATTGTTTAAAAAGTTCAGTTGAAAATGAGTAATGCATTCTTTAGCTTAGTAAAATTGAATGCAAAGTTTTGGTATTTTCTATATTACTGTAATTGATACGTTGCTAAAGGATGTTTCTATTCACCAGCTATCATCTTGATTATGTAACATGATGCAACTGTAATTAAACTCAGCTATTCTCAAGACAGAGTTCCAAGTTTTTATTTTAGGTGTTTCAAGTTTGTTTTAGTTTCGTTTTGTTTTAGTGTTTGCTTGAGGTTACTGTATATCGTCAATCACAGAATACGTTGTTTGTTGTGTGATACGCATAGCAAACAGTAGAATTTTATAATTCAAGTTATTATACGAATCAAAATTTTGGACTTTATTTAAATTTCTGTATTGTGATAATATTTACTGTTTAATTTATCTTATTTACTAATTTTAGATCACTCTTCTGGCAGCTTTTGCTTGCCTGATCTGTGTGAAAGGATCAGATGTCAAAGTTGCAACTGTAAGTATTTTATTTCTGAATTAAAACATATAAAGTATACACTAAATTGTTTTCCTAAAATTTTAACAAAAGTAACTAAAATGCTCAAACTTTGTTATTTTGTTAAAATTATTAATATATCCAACAATAAGAAAACAGTATCAAAAGGTGGAATTCTAATTTTCCATGCGCATATTAAATATATGTAGAATAACAGTTATTGACGAAGCTGAAACTAAATTAACGTTTAAACTACTAATCGATCGAAGAAACGAAAAATATTTGAAAGAAGAAAAATTATAAATAACAAAAAATCTTTAAACTGAATGAATTAGATATGCCTTTACAAGGCAAGGGTGTCACCATTTTCAGTGTGCATGATAGAATTGAGGCTATGTTTAAAAGAATCAATTTTTGGATTCAATGCATGCAGATGAATGAGTATGGATGTTTGGATTCTGTCAGCACATTTTTATCAGAAAATTCAATTAAACTTGACGACAACATTAAAAAGAGTATATGGGAACATCTGACCTATCTTCGATTAACTTTCGATGATTATTTTCCCAACAGATGCAACATATCCATCTCAAACAACTGGATACGTAATCCATTTCAAGGAAATGTAAGTTCAGAAACCTCTCTAAATATACTGGAAAAAGAAAACCTCATAGAGTTATCTTATGACAGCTCTCTAGAAGCAATTTTTAAAGATCAATCTTTAATTGACTTTTGGCTCGGTATACAAAATGAATATCCTGTTCTGTCAAAAAAAGCCATTGAAGTTCTATCACCATTTTGCACAACATATCTATGCGAGAAAGGATTTTCAACATATACTTATCTGAAAGCTAAATAAAGAAACAAGTTAAATGCAGAACCTGATCTAAGACTGAAATTGTCAGATATTGAGCTTAACTTTGAACTGCTTTGTTCTGTAAAACAGCCACAAATATCCCATTAAGAGTTTTTCCAAATGTAAAACATAAGAACCTGTTAAATTTATCTTGTTTTACACTTTTATAGCCATCATTTTAGTCTTATTAATGCTTTATTTAAATGTTTCACGATTAATATAATCAATTATTCTGCAATATGAAAAATATATATTCTATCAAATTTTATTGCTTTTTTTTTACCTGTCATTAACGACTACATAGGGGTTTCGTCAAATGTTTTTGGACCTTTCTTTCGGTTGGCGAGGAAAAAAAGGTTGGGAAACATTGATCTAGGCAATGTGGAAACCTATTTTATTTTGGCACTTTCTTCTATCCGCAGTTTGGCTTTAAAAATGAAATGCTGACAGCCAGAAATGTTTGAAATTAAAATAAATTTTATTTTTATATTTTAACGTCATTTTCAAAATGGTTCATGTAACTATTGGCATAATTTTCAGTAAAAATATACTTTTGCTATATGTATTCTGCTTTACTATACAATTTGTACTGTTATTGTTCTAAATTTTATTAGTTCTTATATAAATTTTAAGCAGATTCTCCACATTTTAAAAGTCCTCAGTATTTTATGTAACGATTTTGTAACTAATAACGATTTTGATGAAGTCGAAAAGTGCATCAAGACATTAATCTCAAGTGAACAAACAAAACTCGGTTTGAGAGATTAAGTTTGAATCTGAAACAGCTAGTTGAATTTTTTTTCTAATTTCTTTATTCATTTATTTCAAACATTGCTTCTTGTGTTCACATTTTAATTTGCTTTATCTACAGGTTTCTCAGCCCCAGCCTTACAAGTATGGGTATTCTGTTAAAGACCAGAGTAGTCAACAATACAGGGAAGAAGTCGCTGATGGAGTTGGTATCGTAACTGGAAGTTATGGATTCAAAGATGCTAAGGGTATACAAAGACAAGTCAACTATATTGCTGACAATAAAGGATTTAGAGCACAGGTCCAAACCAATGAACCTGGGTCAGCAAACCAAAATCCTGCTGCTGTCGAAGTCATATCCAAAACCCCTGTGGTCTCTAAATTGGTAACACCTGCTGTTACTCCTGAATTAGTGCAAATCAATCCTACCGTCGGTCTTGGAGCCATTAGAAGTCAGATCTTGAATAACCAACTCTTAAACAGGGGCATTGGCACAAGAATCTTAAACAATGGTCTTCTGAACAGTGGACTCTTGAATAACAGGCTGCTGAACAGAGGACTCTTGAATAATGGCATTCTGAATAGAGATCTCTTGAACAATGGAGTCTTGAGCACAGGACTTTTGAATAGTAATGGTTTAAATAATGGATTATTGACTAATGGAATCTTGAATACTGGACTTTTGAATAGAGGGTTAAATGTTAATGCTAATAATATATTAAACGGAGGATTAGGATACGGTAACGTTCTTCTGGGTGACCCTTCTTCGGCTAGTTACTTGAATGATGGAACAGTCGTTTATGGAATACCATTGGCTGGTGGTGCCCTTCGAGGTTATGATGGTAGAAGTAATGCATAATTAGCAATAACTTTCTGAGCATTTGATCTTTATTATGAAGGAATCATTTATTATGAAGGAAAGTATTTACAGGGGCTGACACCCAAATTCAGTTTTAGGAAAAAAAAAAAGGCCTGTAATGTTTTTTTCGTTCCACAGCTTGCTTATTGTTCTTGCATATTATTCAATAATCACTCTTTATCGAAAAGAACAATATATCATGAGAAGTTAAGACTTTTGTTAAATTATGAGTTCTGATATCTTAGTTTTACATCTAAGTGCGAATCAGCGTATGCCGAAAAGACCAAATCAACTTGTTAAAACAACAGTTTTTTTTTTTTTTTTCGTTTTTCCATAAATTTTCTTCTCATCTTTTAAGATGCTGTTATGTGTTTTTAGTGTTTCAGTGTAAATAAAATTATTTAATGCTGCGAAAGTTGTGTAATTCTTTCAACGAATCAAATAACTGAAAAAAATAACTTGCAATACATTCATATATTCAGATTATTTAATGAATTAAAACTGCCTTGCTACATTGTACCCATAAGAATAGTCTTCAAAACTTTCCCATTTTTCAAAAAAATACGTATTGTTGCCTGCGTACGGGTTCGTTACGAAATGAATGCACAAATCCGATGAAAAATGAACAAAAATTTATTATTATCACAACAAATATGCTTAAATTTCCTAAAATATTCGTGCAGTATTACAATATCTCACAGTAGTTATCTTTTAAGTACTCAAACGTTCAAGAGAACTTAACTCAAAACAGCTAGAGAAAGCTAATCCGCGAATTTGCTACAGTCAACAAGAGCAGTTTTCTAAACAACAACAAACTAAGTAACTACCACGAACTTCCAAGTTCCAAGTTACACTTATGCAGAGATTATCAAGCATTCTGCTTGATGTGTTCCGGCTGTGATCAGATGTTTGCTTTTTGGGCGCTGAAAAGAGAATAAGTTCGAAGTGTGAGTCCAGAAGGGCAGAAGCTAATGGCGAAGGGGCTTGACCAGTTGTTATGTGGGCTGCAAGCTGACTTATCATTGGTTACGGGTCTTCTGAGAAATACCTCGCTAAAATTGCAATTAAATACAGTACAAAACATATATGAAAGTAGAAATAGTGAAATTAATTTCAAAAATCAGTCTTCTAAATTACGGATAGTTGTCAGCCGTCTGGTGTAATTATCCATGAATTTGGGAGTCCGGATTTTGTTCCTGATGTGTAGTTGAGTTTTCATCGATTAATTTCTTGCATAGAAAAGGAATTTCCAGATTCCTTAATGAAGGGGACAAACATATCTTAGTTGTTGGAACTTTTGTTTGGCCTCTGTCACTCATTTTCATAGCTTCCGGAGCGAGTCCCGTAGTTAATGCCTGAGCATATGATTTATTAGTCACTATGCGTTCATTGAACGTTTTAGCTTTGGGAGTCACTTTCTGCTGTGGAAATTTCTCACAACCTCTATAGTGTGGCTGTGTTTTCTCACATCCTCTTGTCTCTAACTTGCAAACAGTTGGCACATTTCGATGGTTCAGATTTATCTTTTGAACACTTGAAAGTTTTCGTGCGCCTCAGCGCAACGAACACAACGCGGCTCGTGATTGCAGTTCGTTTGCGAAGTGGTGGAACCCTTGGCAGCAATAACACTGCAAGGGTCCCGCTCTGCCGTTGTAATTCCTACAACTTTGATTTTCATTCCCATAAGGAAAGATTCATGATGGATTCTCTTATTTTTGTCATTTCTCTTAAGAGTAATGAGAAAGAGGGGGGAGGTTGATTACATCACCATTTCTTCGTCTTTTCAATTTTGGTTGACACAGATGGACGTCATAATTTTTGGCGACTAATTCTTCAGCAATTTCATTAAATGTCCATGTAAGCCGGTAAATGCCGGATTACTACTTTTAAATTTTTAGGATGCAGGTAGCTCAAAACAGTGGAAACTCACCTTTTCATCTTTCAGAATTTTCTGGACTTGTTTAAAAATAGTTGGTATTTTTACCAATATCTTGAATCCGTCCTGGATTTTGCTGACCGAAGTAGTCACTTTCAGAGTACAGTCCATGCTTCTTTAAGAGCGCTCTAGCTTTATTCCAGTTGAAGTTGGTATCTCTTACAATGAAGGGCGGAAGCCGTCCGCCATTCTTGTTAAGGATTTACTGATTCCGGTGGAATTTCATCTATTTTTCCATCATCAATGGGTGCTGTTTCCATGGATTCTGGTTCAGCAGTGCTGGGATCATCTATGGGCGAATTAGGGTTCGTTGCGGCTGCTTGGAGTGGTGCCGGCTTTCTGATTGGTTGCTTTCGGGGTCTCCGGGTGGTATCTCCTCTGGGAGCGCAGTCGTCAGAGTCCGAACTGGCATCTAGTGCTTTATATTTCGTAAAATCTTTCTTCAGACTTTCCTGGGCTCTCTGACTAAGCTCTTCTGACATTAGCTTTAATATTAGGACGGGGAGGAAAATCATTTTTCATGCTGTTTGCTGATGGGGGAACCGCAGCAGTAGCAGGAGAATCATTAGAACCATCCTCTGGTTTGTCATCTTTTAGTGGTCTGCATTCATCATTGGCAAGCGCCCTAAATTTGCAGAACAGGGCCAGGTCACGAGCTTCTCTTTCAGTCAGATAGCCTCTATCTTCCTGAATCATCTGTAGGTTCGTGATTTCCGAACCTATGAAGTCGAAAAATCGATCCATAGTTGTGAAAATAAAACAGTACGTCGCAAGGCCTTTTTACGGCAAACTGATGAACATAGTTCAACGAATGCCAACCCTTTTTTTTTTTTTTTTTTTTTTTTTTTTTAGTACAAATAAAATCAGATAGTAAAATGCAAAACGCAAAGTAATCAAAATGTAAGAGCCAGGGTACAGAGCACCTTCACGCTCAGAGACGCAATAGAAAACTCAATAATAATCAGTAGGACGCAAATACGTTAAATCTCTACCACCACAAACTGAGAGGTTTTCCTCCTTTTATAAGATTTTAAAATCGCGCGCGAGAATTTTCTAGTACTTTCTCGAAATCAAAAAGAGATATTTATTAAATGTTACATGCACGCGCTCTTGGATTTTCAATTTTCAGGCTTAGCTTTCTTTTAATATTCATCATGCGCTGCACTGCGCAGGAAATAAAACCATTTAATTTACAATTCAACTAACATAAGCTATTTAAATACCAAATGCGTAACAGTATAAAGCTACTTATCTAGACATAAATAATAGTAAATATTTAACTGATAATGTTCTGTAGAAAATCAGAAAAAAAATTAAACAGGATTTTTTTTAATCACCAGTCACAGACTTTCTGACAAAATTTTAAAATCTATTACCAAACACAACATCTCCTTATATTATAAATCTGTATATTTTCGATTTACTTGATTTAGCAGTTAATTTTTTATAATATTATGTCCTTCCAAATTATTCATTTTCTGGCCATTGCTGAATTTTTAGTATTTACAATTTAACCAGTTTTTCAATAAAATCCAACTGAATTTGGGAAGGGAGAGAATATAATTAATTTTACAACTACAAGAAGAAAGCGATGATATTAACTGATAAATTCCTGTATATGGAACTAAAAATAGAGAACTAAAAAGGAAATGAGAGTTTTAGTGGCCAAACTTTTTCTAAGGATCCCCGTAAAATATTTTTTTTAAAAAAAAAAGCTATATAATATGTACTTTTATTTTTTCAAAAGAATATTTTTGTATAATGTTATATTTTCAGGCATTCCAAGAATAAATTATAAATATAATTTTACTGCTGAAGTTTATAATAAGGTATTTTAATTTACATTTAATCTAACAAAATCATTACGCCTGTTCAGTAGCAAATATTATTTAGATTTAGAGATTTCATGTTTCTCTGATTTTTATGTTTAACTTTTGTAATAAACACAATGTATTGTGAATGAAATTTCCTTCTGAATAAATGAAATGCATTCTTTCTCGTTGTTTTCCATTTAAATAAATAAATGTCATATGCGAATAGAGTTGATGCGTTGCGCTTAATCTCGTAACTTTTATATTGCTCATAATTGACAGATGAGACATTCTTTTGTATAACCTTACAAGGTATTTTATCCCTCCTTCCAGCATGCCATCATGGTATAAGGGCAGCAGACTCAGTGCATATTCGAGAGATCCGGGCTCGAGTCCCGGCGAAGGCATTGCACATTTTTCACATCTCCTGATTCAAAATAACATAATTACTCAGCAACCTTTGTATGGCAAAAAACTATTTACATGACGTTTTCCTAAAACACGGAAATTTGATCTATGAAGCTAATTATAATCAAATTATATATTTTCTCAATAAGTTACCTACAGCCGTGAATCATGATCAAAGCCAAAGAAACTCATAATATTACCGTACTAAACCATACAAAAGGAGCAGCTAAATAACAAACATAAATAAATAACTATGAAGAAATACGTACTTACTTTTATTACATTACTAGAAAATTTTTTACATCACCATTTGTTTTTTTATTATTCAGTATTACCAAAACAATGTACTGATGTGGTCCTAACGAAGACGCATCGTATCTTGTGATGGTTGTCATAGTACTTTAAACACTTAAAAAAAAATCAGTTCTGGCGATCCTGTTTGGCATCTGTCAGTTCAAATAATTCTATTTCACATTTGCCAGTCGTCATTATTTTGCTACTCTAAACAGATGTATAGTAGAACTGATAACCATACCTATATTTCATTCAGAGGAATGCTGTCCTAATGTCTCTGAACATGGTTGAAAATTTGTCCCCTTTGTTGACAGACAGAACTCCGCCACAATTTAGAAAGGTGACGAGGCAGGATCACGAATGTACTTCCCCTCACATTTCGTAAAATGTTTTGGTTATTCTGACTCCACATACAGTCTATGCCACGTCAATAAGGCACACAGTCTTCTCCACCATCGCTTGTGGATTCTTCTGCGGGATTATATACTTTGCCCTTTTCTGATCAGTGCAACCGCCAAGGGAGGAATGTAAATTTCCCAACAGAACAAAAAAAAAATTTTTTTTTAAATTAAGATTTCGATATGTGGAAATGCCTCCCTTTTATTAAACATGTCTAACGTATAAAATTTATCCCAAATTAAATTTGAATTTCGACTCCTGAAATCTTCCTAAAATTTTCATAATTACGCTAATTACTTCAAAGCTGTCATATTAACACTCAACACCTGGGCTATGCAAAATATAAACGTTTTAAAATATAAACGATTTGCAAGCTTTTGAATCTACATAAGCAGTTTGGGTGCAAGTTGGTCGATTCCGGCCCTATTTTGTTTGACGCCAGACACTGTCCAGCAACCCTTGTTCTCTTCGAGAAAAATTGGTCTCCATCGAGTTTGTTTTTACTGTACTTCATTTGTTATTCTGTAATGTAGTGCATTATCTGCTATTTTTATATCATTTTTAAAA